GATCAGCATTTGTCAGTCTGATGGCCGCGTTTACAGCGCATCAGTTCGCTCAGTATTGTTGTATGGGTGCGAGTCCTGGCCGATTCGCGTGGAAGACATGCGTCGTGTTTCTGCCTTCGATAACGGTTGCTTAAAGAGGATCGCTCGTGTTTGGTGTCAACATCGGGTTAATAGTAATGACTTTCTGCATCGCATGTTGGGGAATTCGAGTATTCCATTTAACAAACTGGTTTTGTTGCACCAGTTGAGATGGCTCAGTCATGTCCTACGCATGGCACCTGAGCGTCTACCGCGTCGCGCTCTATTCGCTCGTCAAGGACCTGACTGGAGGCAACCGCGTGGTGGTCAGCCTTCCACTTGGCGGCAGCACATGAAATCGCTGACGTCGTGTCTAGCAGCTGTTGGATCCGTACGTCTTCCAGGATGGGGACCCAAATATGAGGAGTGCCAATGGCTTTGCACTCTTGTAGATATGGCCTGCAACCGGAATCAGTGGAAGAATTGTGTACAGAATTGTATTGATTCACATGTTTAATACTGCAAACATTAGAATGACAAAAAAGAGCAAAAGCGGCGTGTGAAAAATAAACTAAAAATGTTTTGTTCTACTTTTTGTCAAAATGTTCCATTCTTCCTGCGGCATATTAGTTGAAGTGTGTTGCTCACCTTCAACTAGCATGTCACGATGATTATGACGCGATGAATCTTGCGTATCCGCTGATCTCCATGGTTTTATGTTTGCTCTGTGTCTAGTTGATAGACTGTTGAGATTACATACATACATACATACCGCGGGCCGACGAAAGCTGTGTTCCTCAATTTCAAGAGTTCGTTCGATTCAGTCGGTCGATGCATTCTGCTCGAACTACTTGCTCGGAAAGGTGTTCCCACGAAATATGTGAACATATTACGTGCTCTATACTCGAACACTACAGGCCGCGTCCGTGTCTTCGGGGACCTGTCGGATAGCTTTCCGACCACAAGTGGCGTTCGTTAGGGTTGTCCGATTTCCCCATTTTTATTTACTTTCCTCGTGGATTCTATCACGGGGTGTTCCCTTGGGGAATCCCACGATGTAGGTGTTGAGGTCCTGCATGGTGAATGGTTAGTTGATCTTGATTATGCGGACGATAGCGTCTTACTTTTTGAAGATGTTGGAGCGACGCAACCAACCTCGAATAACCTCTCTGTAGTGGTCCCATTATTCGGTATGCGCTTTGCACCTTCAAACTGCAAAGTGTTGCTGCAGGATAATGAGCCACCTAACGACGAGAAACTGGAGGTGGTTGATCGATTCACTTACCTTGGCAACTGCATCAGCAACAATGGACGCATAGAAACTGAAGTCAGTTCATACATCGCAAAAGCCAGAATTGCCTTGAACCTGCGGCATCTTTGGCGACAGAAGGGACTTTCCATCTGTTTGAAAAGTCGTGTATCCAAGGCGACAGTGAAGGCCATCCTGCCGTATGGGAGTAAGACTTGGCCCCCTTCGGTCCGAAGATCTGAGGCGCCTTCAAGTCTTTGATCATCGTTGTCTGCGAAGCATTGCTGTTGTCGGATGGCACCAGCGTGTCCTCAACGATGATGTGTGCAGGCGAGTACTAAACAGTGATATCCAGGCTACTTCTTTAGAACAACATATAGCACTGAATAAGTTGCGTTGGCTTGGTCACACACCATGTATACCTAGTCACCGCTTACCTAGGAGGGTCTTGTTTACTCTACCAGATGCAGTGTGGCGCAAGACTCACGGTGGACAGAAGTAGACTTGGCAGCGGAAAATGAAGTCACTGACAACCCAACTCGGTGCCGTCGGTCCGTTTCGCCTTCCATGCTGGAGTCCACGTGACCCGCCTTGTGCTTGGCTCGAGACGTTACAGGACATAGCTCGCAGTCGACCCCAGTTGCACGTCTGCTGCAGTCTCCTAGTCGGACCGCCTGTATCAAGTCAAAATAAGCTTTATGTATCCGACTGAGCACATTTTCAGCACATTTTTAGACTTGATCTGCGGATAAAGAATACGGGTACAAGAAAGTCTACTTACTAGCACTGGCAAATAGTGAAAACGTGTGTTTGATTGCGTTATCTGCAGGGTGATGGCTCATTATGTCGCGTATCAGTGAATGCCGCTTGGAAGCTGTCTGGCCGATGCCGCATTGTCTTTGCACAATAGCCAGCTGTTTGTGACGGTATGTTGTCTACACAAGGTGTAGGCGTCTTGACCCCGAATGTTTGCTTAGGGCACTGCGATTTTCCCCTATATCCCCCTCTCCCTCTTAGTATTTTTTCTCTGATATGTCAACATGGTAGTATGGCATCGAAGCATTAGTTCAGTTGACTGATGTACTGCTGTTGTTGGTTGATTGCTTCGGTTTTTCGGGTTTATTGTCCGATCTTAATGATGTGGACTGCGGTGTTCTACAAGGATCATTGTAAGATCCGCACTTATTCTTGATCTTCATCAACGACATTGCGCGTGTCATCGAATCGAATTTTTTTGGTTTTTACCGATATCAACGGACGATCAGTTATCAGGAAGATCACGATCTATTGCAACGAGACCTGGACCGTGCTTCTGAATGGTCAAATAGAAATATACTTCTGTTCAACGCGGACAAGCGCAGAACTACATGTGCGCCACAAACCCACCAACATATATAAGCTTGACCACATTTTGAAGACCGCTTAACAAGAGCGTGGTCTTGGGATGGTGGTGTGGGACGATTTCTGCTGTTCGGTCCAATCCTCGAAGGTGTGCATAATCGGGAACCAGCATCTTGTTCGCTTTCCGAGGGCGTTTGGGGAGATCAACCCTTCCAGCTGACCGCAAATGCTCAGCGCGTATATGAGGTCCCATATGGAGTTCGCGATTCAGGCCCGGTAACCGTGGCTAAAATGCAGTCTGGCTGCAATGGGGAGGCCACAGCAAAGGGCCACAGAATGTGTTAAGTCCTTGTGTCGCCTGTCATATCAACTACGATTGCGAACCCTTGGAATATACATCGGAAGTTGTCACCGTCACATTCTGATTTATCCTATTTTGCTGCAACGTAGTCATGTTTGCCACCACCTCCTGGAACATCCGCTACACAAAATTGGGAGGCCACTAACTGAAACTGATAACCCAAAACAGCTGGTTAAAATACCGCCGGAATTATTTTCCCTCCGAATTTTTCTGCTGTGAAACTCTTCCGAGCTTCGTCATTTCTGCATCCACACTATTCATTAGTTACTAATAAAAATAACTGGACGATCCATTGAACCATGTGCATTACGCGATATAAATTCCACTCATTGAATAACCAGAAGACGCAGACAAACTTATGCTCACCAGCTCTACGAAACCGGAGTATACGTGTTTACGTGTGTGTTGACGTGGATATTATGGTGTGTCCACAGTTGCACAGTTTACTATACTGTAAACAATTTCCCTCAGGATTTATGTATTTCACCAAACCATCCTGCGAGATTTGTCAAACCTCATCTGTTATACCATTATTTTTATTCAGTTAAGGAAACTGAATTTCATTCTTCTCAATTTATCGTTTGAATTCGGTGTGAAATATACCTGCACTAGTTGCCTGAGTGAATTCGTTTTGGAACTTTTGTATGTCTTCCTCAATGTGATGCCCGACTTTTTAACCGCTTTGGTGAATACTCCATTCTGCTTTCAGTTCGATACGGTTTACTTCTTTCCGGAAATTAGTGTTTTCTACCGTTGTTTCCTCGTTAACGTCCTCATATCTTAGTGACAGTGTTACTTTTTGCGAACCACTTGAAATCGACATACAATTTCTGGTAGAAAATGGGCTTGGGTTTTACGGCTTCCCATCACACTTGGATTTTAGCGGGGTGGCTGGCTTACGCTAGTAGACTTGTTCTATACCTCCTGCCTGTGGTCGATTGCCGTTATCGAGGGTTATAGAGAAGCCTCGGAATTAGTGGAACCAATATCTGTTGATATGGTGTTCAGTGATTCTATGTATTAGCTAAGAAAACGATACCAATACGACGCATTTCTAACAAGGAATGATGACAGAGTACCGGGAGTTGCAGCGGCATGGCGGATCCAGCTTTAGTGCCGTGTGTGTGTGTGTGTGGTGCTCACGATTCAAACGAACAGACCCGGCGTGCAGTTTAACTTTTCACGTGCAATAAGCAGATACTTTCGGTTAGTATTTTACAACCCAAACTCAGGCGAACCGGCGATATCTCCAGACGGCTACAAGATTTTTCGTTCCAGTCATTTATATTCCTCTCTGTCACTTTTATTTTCTCTCGCTTCTCTACTTCTCAAAGCAGTGTGCGCTTGCCTGGATAAGATTGAGCATGAATTTGATGCATCCGGGAGCTATTTATCACTTCTCTGAATTTCACGCTTAATCTCTACTTTAGCTGTGAATCGTGATCCTCACCTAGTAGTCTCATAACAACAAAAGCTACAGCTTCGCAATATGAGGGTATTCTCTCTACGCAACGACCAGATGCTTCGTCCATCAATGAAATTTTCTGCTGGGCCTAGTTCCAACCGCCCTCTCTCTGGTATAGCACTCAACCATCAGTTCCACATAAGGCTGTCGTTTGTCGAAGGAAATTCAGACTTTCCCTTTTGCCTGTAGCTAGTCTATACATCCCATCTTTGCCCCTTTCTGATTGACACACGGTCACCCGGCCGCGTTTCGCACAGACTGCTTTGCTAACCCTCGGGATCACGCTTCTTGTCCACCTTACACTCTTTTTTAGTTTGCTTTTTCACGCTAATAATAATGAAGAACCTTTCCTTTTTTCGAATTGTTTAGAAATTTTCCACCGGAAATGCATTTATCTAATTGCTTCCTCCTGGTTCATTCCATCTGACGTTTTTCTTGATTTTTGTTACTACTAACGCCCGCAGTTTATCAGGTGTCAATAGGTACATACTACTCGCTAGCTTACAATGATATCGTATGTTACTTTGCAGTTATTTTACCTATTCTCCTGTCGCCGATTTGCTTAGATTACTGGCACCGTCAAGTTAACGGGACTTATTCGATATCAGGAGAAGGTAAGATTGTACTTTCCATAAATGACGCCACTTATGTTTGCTGTTGCCATCTGTCCTACGTTCATTGTGCATGGAATACTTAGATGTGCCACTTCTCGTTTCGCATGCAGCTAACGCTTTTCATGTTCCCCACAAGAGATGTAGCTCTCTTCGCTTTCATTTACCGTGAAGACATCATTTTCTGTGAGCACCTCTATCTTTCCGCTGAATACCTTATCCGCACAGATGAGAGAGCGCTTTTGGTCACTCGTCGAGGCAAAAAGTGAATAGGAAAAGAAATGGTGTAATAGGCCCAAATATGTAGGTACATATTATTGTGCATCTTTAGCACCGCTTTTTTTCGGCTAAATTTTTACTTTTTAATAAATTCGTAACTTAACTCAGCCGTATTTTATGGCCATGGCCGTACTAGTTGGACACCTTTGGGACAAATATTCGGTTTGGCCTTATGGTTTAAGTATTGAGTGATTTCCATTTGAAAATCGATTTTCACCTATTTTTGACAAGGTTTGCAGCCATAAAATATTCATTCACGGTAAATGTTAAAGGTGCGCTGGAAAAAAGCTTTCTGGGTGACCGACATTCGTTCCAAATGTGCCGTTGGGACTGCCTGGGGCAAGAAACGGTCACTCAGGGCGCTCCAATGGTCACTCCAGCGGACATTCCTCAGTCACTCGTGTTATACAGGTATTGATCTCTGCGGTGCATTTCCTCCGTCCCCTACCCAAGGTGTCACTAAAAGGCGTTTTCCTAAGACCTGCGCGGGTATCTATGGTCGGATGAAGATTCGCAATCTATTCTTCCCATTAGTAGTAAAACTGTAGCACTTGTTTCATGAATTCATTACTCTGCTGTTATGCCATTTCTTGAACATCTCTGTATTTAGACTGATCAGTTATTGGTTACACAGTAGCAGAGGCGTAGCATTGGGGGGGGGCGGTCCGCCCCGGGCGACCTGTGACAGAGGGCAGCATTTTTAATACCGTCGAATGTTCAATACCAAATATAAAGGACAAAATATTCGAATAAGCTGAGGGTTGTGGATTTTAATGTTACTCTGTATGACCAACAACACATTTGCGCCATGTGTCACATCTGTGCAAACCTTGTTCCCGGTACTACCCTTATTTGTCCTATTGTGGTCACTTTCATCACATTTACCTGTGTCAAAAACGCTTTCCCATTTCATCGAAAACTAATATGCACTTTAACCTGAGTCGATTGTGTGGCCTTCACGCGCTTATTCTACCCTCATCCCGCGCGCAAATGTTACCGCCAACCCGGGCGGCAAACGTAGTTCCTACACCACTGCACAGTAGGATGGCGAACCTGCGCTTTGAATTCATTCGTTTTCTCACCTACTTTCCGTACTTTATCGCGTGAGAGCCACTGTGTAAGATGGGGCGTGACACAGCAACTCTTCCAACTCACGAAGCCTATTGCTTCTATTTCCTGTTCATGCGCTGCCTCAGCGAGCTCGGCGTTCTGTTCTCTGCTTTAAAAGGCCGCTTGCGTCCTATTCTAATGTTGGTCTGATACCCTTTTTCTCTCCTTAGCACTCTTGAACTGTGGAATCAGCATTATTAGAGGCTCGGTGTATGTAAGCCTCACCACTGGCGTCTGAGCTCGGCATTCTTAGATTCGTTACGACACGTCTTTAACGGAATCAAGGGAGTACAGAGCAATAACAAACGTTGTCTGTTGTCTGTTCTGATATACATTGCGTACGTCGGAATAATAAGGGGAATTTGATTAGTCGTTTCCAAAGGGTCTACTTGTTTGATAGTGTGGCTGGCTAGGTCAGCGGTTGTTTCTTACTCGGTCCAATTGTGGAGGGAAACTGGAAAGTGTAGGTAACGGAAGAGTACCAAATGGCTCTTGTAGCATATTAATCGGGACCGCTTCAAAACATTTGTTGTGTGAAGGTCTTTCGACATGACATCTGCTTTAGATAGTGCTAAATTGGCCGAATTGGCTGAAGCCCACATACAGGTGGATCGCGGTTCGGATTGGGATTACGCGGCGCAATCCGTTTACATGACAAGGGCTGTAAAATGACCCTTCCAGTCAGTTTTTGACCCTTCATAGAAATTGCTGTCTGCCTGGGCTCTGTAGCTTAGGGGTAGAAAATTCGGCTGATATCCCAAGGGTTGCAGTGCTGTTATCCCTACCAAACGGGTGCGAATTCGTGCGAAATTGATCCTGGAGTAAACTGTTGCGTGCGGATAATACCTAACATTTATCTACCTTTTGAACACATTATGCCTTCCGAGTACCCATCTTTGAGAACACAACTTTACTCTTTGACCCAACAATCTTATCCACAATGGGAGATGGGGCTTTACTTAGCACCTCACTCCGGCCCCTTTGATCCGATTTTCTGACTCGAGATTCGTTAGTGCCACTAGATGTGATCTATTATCCTGATCTCATGCATGGCTTGCTTCCAAAGACAAAAGAAAACACTCGCTTTAGCGGAACTAAGGAAATTTCGTTCTATAACGGCGCATATAATGTCCATAACTGACTTACGACTAGCTAGTCATTGGGTGTTACTAGCACGAAAACACTGCACTGTTGCGACCAGATTTGCAGATGTAGCCTGAATGTTGCTCAGTGATGAGCCAAAGCAGTCCCTTCAGTCCGTACTCCGGATCAGCAGTGAGAAGAATAGCAGCGGCCGGCGCGTCAACAATAAAGTGCTCGGTAATGCTTCACCAGAACGGCGCTTCAGTTAACCACAGTGATGCGCGTAAGCAAATATCACGTTCGTATTTTATAATCTATCCAGATGTTTGTGTGCAAGAGAAATAATGAAGGCGGTAATAGAGAATATACATATGCTAATGAGTAGGAAAAGTAGGATGAAAATTGCAAATTTCATCTTTTACATTTGTAATTCCCAGGTTTATTCAACTCAGAGATTTGGCGTTAAGGTCTTACGAAACTGGTCATAGGACCGGACACACCCCATTCTCGACAGGTTTTCAGCGCAAACTTGACGTTTTTCGTGGGTTCCAACTTTGCCAACAGAGTTGTCCTAACTGAGCGAGTTACGGCTATACGCGAGCTATTTCATCACGCTTTGGCGAGGGAAGTTTGTTTCACCTTCGAGCCTATTTATCATCCTTGTTCTGGTGTATGTAGGATACTATGAGCCAGGAATTGAATTTGAATATTACTAATGCTTACTCAAAATCATTCACTTTGACATCTTCTAAACGCTATGTGATACGGAACTGCTGTTAGTGGTGTTAACTCTTCACGTTTTCACGTTAATCCAATTAAACACCCAAAATGTCTCCGCAAAACTTCTAGTCCAGCCAAAGAAAAACCAAAAGTCCAACGACCTTGACCACGGAAAACATGTTAACAAAAACGCCACCAAAACGCTGTACAACTACGCCAGACCCCGCTCAATGACCTTCGGCTTCTAGAAAACGAAGGTCAACTTGTAAAATTAACAGCCTCCCCGTCAAAACTCCGTATGCTAACAATCATGTGAAGGAATGGAAGGCTCCGGAATCTTCGAAATCAATGCATGATCAAAAGTAATCGATTAATTACTAAAATAATGGGTTTTCCTTTATATTTTTATCTTTTCCCGGATACCTCCCCTCCTGAAACGTCTCCCGCGGTGTATGATGCTAGCCGGGGATTGATCTGAAGCCTCCTAGAAGGGTTTTTACACCTACCGGTCCATCGCCTTGGCTGTAGTGTTCTGGATTCAAATTCCGTGATATGCGATTTGGTATCATTCTTCTGATGACAGGGTCCTTCTATGGGCTGTTTAGGCAAGTTGAAGCTGTCCGTCAACAGGTCAAATGGAAGCTCGGCGGATTCTATTGCTTGTGGCTGACACAGTGTTGCTCGCAGTTAGTTTGCATGGCGTACTCATAACTGCGTTCCAACCAGCACATTGTAAATGACGTTCCCGCGCTTTCCCTGGATCGTTCCTGGCGTCCATCTTGCGTGTCCTTCCCGGTAATCACGTACAAATACTGATTGACCCGGTTTAAAGAAACGTCGCTTAGCACCATACCGCCGATTAAAGTCACGTTCCATTTTGAGGTTCCTTTCACCAGCTGTAAACTCTGAGGACGGCCGAACTGCATCAGATGGCATGCGAAGCTTTCTCTTCATCATTGCCTCTGCTGGTGATATTACAGCTGGCGTTTGTGAATTTTGTGTAGATCGGTACAGAAAGAGTAAGCGGTCGATCACCTTCTCTATGTCTCCCTCCTTCCTTGATTTGAGGAGAGCGCGTTTGAATGTATCCACAAATCACTCCACTTGGCCGTTTGTGGAATGGTGGAGACCGCACGTGTTTGATGGCGCAGCGTTGGCGAAATTCCGTGAATGTGACTGAAGTAAGCTGTGCTCCATATTCCGTCACCAAAATTTCAGGCCAACCAAACCTGCTGAAGATTTGTCGCAACTTCGAGACTGTTGCGCTGGTTTTCGTGCTGCTCATGAGGGACACTTCGAGCCACTTGCTGTAAGCATCGACCACTATGAGCAAGTACTGGCCATTAATTGGGCCTGCAAAGTCGACATGAACACGGCTCCAAGGTTTAGTTGGTTTAGGCCACGAGTAGAGTTCAGTCTTCGGCGGTACCCTTAAAGATATCGCGCAGTTGCTACATCTTCTAGCTAGCTGCTCCAGCTGTCTGACCATAAACGGCCAATACACATAACTTCGGACAAGCTCTTTTATTCGGTTGAGCCCTAGATGTCCTGCATGGAACTGCCGCAGCACTCTTTCTTGCAACGCCTGCGTGATGACTACTCTCTTTGCAAACATGCCGCAAACGTTCGAAATGGAGAGCGAATGTATTCGTTGATAGGATTGCCGCATTTGGGCAGATGAACACGAATTTGGACAGCTGGTTCTGTGGAAGTGTGTAACCTTCAGGATAGGATCTCAGAGCGTTTCAGCCCGCACAGCTTCGGCCGTAAGTGGTTGACCTTATAGTGACTCGCACACTAGGAATTTGGCA